TTTGAGATGGCATCTCTCTGGGAGTGCCCAATGGACCAACAAGGTCCGCGGTCCGGCGTGGTCCACTCTGGCAGGAGGCCTTTGTAGTAGGCAATGCCTCAGCTAAGTGGTTTGACATCAACTTCTCTGGTCAGCGAGGCCCGTGGCCTCCACGAATCATCAGTGCTAAGCCACCCCATTCAGGAGGTACGACCTGGTCTGGCCGGCATGCCAAATGCTTCACGGGAAATGTTGATGCCTTGTGGGCAGCTTGTGCTTGGTCATAAATGGTTGAACATGACTACAGCTTCATGCTGAGAGATCTAGATTCTTCTGGTGCTCGCAATGAGCATCACTCAGGCGTCTCAAAAAGGCATCTCACGGCCTAGGCTCAGTTCACTCAAGTGCTGGGGCCTCCAAACTCTATCAGCGGCCTGGGCCTTGCTAATGATGTCACACTCAGCGAGTAGCTCTTCGACCTGATGACACCAAGAAAGCAATGCCAGGAGCCCCTAGTAGCGTCCTTGCTCCCGGCCAAAACCTCAAGAATTCCTCAAAGAACCAGAAAGAGCCTTGAGGGATATCAACGTACGTCAACTACTCAGCTACCAACGCTGATGTCCGGGCACTTTGACCATGTTCCACCCGCATCCATTTTAGGTTCTTGAATGATGCCAGTGCTAGTTTTTCGCTGTTCGTCAGGTTGCGGAGCTTCCCTGAGACACTTCCACGGTAAAAACGACAAAAAAACAACATGTTCTTGTTGGACCTCATTTCCAGGATCTCTGATAAAAGCGTTAAACAACGATCGCGTTCGCGCCGTGTCTACCAAAGTTTGCCCATCTCCACGGCAAAAAAGCTACAGCAAAAGCAATGCATGTTTATATAATCGTTTTCATGCGCTTCGCATTTGACCAGGCTCTGTGGCAAACATTTTACTTTTACCTTTTAAATGTGAGAATGAGAAACGCTATACCTTTTTGTTCGACCAATAAGAGATGACAATCTCGGCGGAGAAAGCGGTAGCATCGGAAAAACATCTCTTTTCCCACATTGCACGGGTCCCTCAGCCATGAAGTCTTTCTGAACAATGCGGCAAAAAAAAATGCTAGGGACCACGTTGGTCCCACCCTGGAATAATGTCAAAAGCGATGCTGTGACCATTTCTTTGACCCAATTAACTATATATACAAATCTCCACATAGAGAACGGCAACGATCCTCCTTTTTGCTGTATCACCTGGGTCCCTCAGCTATTGATTTTTACCAAAAGGCCCGGAACCGGAGAAAAAACTTATCAGTTTTTAAGTTTTCTCTGTGCGGGTTGGGAGTGGATACCCCCTAGCAGAACACACGCGAACCGGCTGAGAATGATCTCCCCCGAAGAGTCTGGGACCTGAACATGTTCAATTTGCTTTGTGGGGTAATGGCTCAAAAAGCACCCAAGCCGCAAAGCACAAATGAACTGCTGGGCATAACTCCTCATACTCCTCTCATTATGCTCTTTGACACGTGCAGACTGCGCCTTGTCTAAAGCCTTCAGTCGGTCCTCTCAGCAGGAATTTGTGGGATGTGCGGAGGCTTGTTTGGTGGAGAATCTTGACCTACACTATATTCTGTCTCTAACCTGCAAGCATTCTGCTGAAATCCCTCTCTTGGAGAGTTAATGCGCACATAGCCGCTGAAAACGAGCGTGATCAAGGAGCAAACTTTGTTGTCCTACCAAGGGAGGTCTTTGAGTGCCACAATGGTCATCCAGCGACCCCTCTCCAACTCCTCCAGTGACTTCAAGGGCTGTCCATGAGCACGGAGAAATGCCACAGGAGATGGGCCTCTCATTCCAGGCCCAGCAAGACACAGCTCAAGGCAAAACCCTGGATGCTTCTTGGAGAACTTCCACACTGACATGTGGCTATGAGTCGACCAACCATTATGAGCGGACGAACCCCAATGAACTGGCAATGAACCCATTTGCAGTGGCCGCTTAAACCCAGTGCAAGCCTTCTCCGGCTCCTTCTGCCGACCTACAGTCATCCGCAGAAATGGGCGATTCCAGCAGCAATGTGCCAGCAAAAACTGTGCAATTGTATGCGCCCACTAGGACATCCTATGCACACCGAAAGAAGCCCCCCCAAACAAATGGTGCCCCCGAGTATGTAGGGATGCTGGGTGACACGCAAACAATAGCCAGTCCAAACGTTTTCTCCAGAAGAAGTGCTGCAACCCTCAAAGGTCGATTGAAAGCAACACATGCGAACACAGGTAGCTCAAAATATGGGCACAACCAAAAGCAACTATGGCTTGGACACAAGGAAGGCACGAGAAACGCGTTGTTGGTCTTACTGCAACGCGTTACACGCTTCCCCTTTTGTCGTTTTCCGTTTAGAGCTCGGCACCTTTGAAAGGGCGCGGAGAGCTGAGTGATGGCGTCCCCGCTTTCGCCCTTCTGCAGCTGGGATTTGATCCTTGGGTTTTGAGGACCCGTTTTTGTCACCGTTTCTGGTCACTGCAGTCGCGTTGTTCGCGCTGGAATCGCTGGAGGGCTTAGATTTCTACGTCATTCTGCCGCCAAAGGCGAGTTGCCTGCCATCCGATCATCCGAATGCGAAGCAAGTTGGTCATTGTTGCAAGACTTGTTGCTCGCGACACATGAAGCATGCTCGCATCACCAACTGGATGGGGCTCACTATCACTGTAATTAGTAACCAAAGACCTGATGATCACCAACAAAGGGTTTATGGGGTCGGTCTTGATGAGTTTTTGATGCAAACCGCCTACTCAACTACCGTCGACTCAACTTTCAGCCACGGCCTATCGATTCGGAGGACTGTCTTGACTCCTGCGGCCTCACCGAACAGCTGCAACTTCTGTCCAAACCAGTGATGCGCGCCAGGTTGCCGCTGGTAGCCTGCCTCTGACGAAATTTCTGTCCTCAAGACTTTCGACCTCAAGAATCTCAAGCCAAAACAAAACCGCTCAAGCGAGCCTTCCACTCGTACCCACACTGCGTAGACTCGTTTGTGTCGGCTTTGCTTTAGTCTGGGCACCACACCCATCCGCCCAGAAGTGTCGCCACGAAAGCGGAGCTTCCAAGCCTCTGAAGTTGCCATAAAAACATGCCGATCTGGTCACTTCGTGTCACTCCTTTTCCTTCTTCCTCAGATACACCACCACCTGGTGCTATGAAACTCGTAAGAATTCCAAAGGCTCCAGCCAGTGCCTAGGCCCCTCACGACACCAAAGCTGCAAGTACATTGTTTCAACGAAACCTGTGGTTCATTCCTGCGACCGCGAGGCCTGCAGCGCCTTCCGCATAGAGGGCCTTAGCAAAAATTAGTCGAGCACTTCCTTCGCAAAAGGAAGGCAGCATGTGTTGCTAGTAGCTTCTTGATATATAGTAGTAATGCCCTTGTTACAGGTAGCGATGCCCTTGTTACTAGTAGCTTCTTGCTCCTAGTAGTTAATTACAGTAATAGCTTTAGATTACTTTGGCGCACCGTGGTGTAGCAAACGCTCTCTGACCAGTGCGTGCCCCGCTCAGCGCAGTGACAAACATCCCAATTTGACAGGACAAATTCTTTTCTCTGTGATTTTGCGGCATTCCGCTGGCCCGCACCACTTCCGCTTAATAATGGTTTGGGTTACTTCAAAGTTAAGTAGCCAAACTAATGGTCTAATTAAGGTCTTTGCCGCCCTCTCGGAACGTTCTGGGAGACTGTGGAGGTACTCACCATCACGTGATGGAAGACCAATGAACGCTCTAGTGGCTCGCAAGTTCATTGGGCAGACCTCTCAGCATGATATGCAAATTCGCATTCTTCACTTGCTGGGGCAGAAGTCGTATATAATCAAACACTTCGCGGGTTGGGCCAAATGTGCTGATGAAGGATAGGCATGATTAGCATCACAAAGCACTTCTGCCTTTAGAGGTCTGACCTCCATGCACGGTTTTCGCTGAAACGCGGGCATGACGTACGCACAGGGGCAGGTAGCTGCCACGAATGAAGCGAATGACGGTGAGTGCAGTTCCCCAGCTAACCACCAGTGACGCATGCGAAATTGATCAACCACAGCTGCCATGGCCAACACCACCCCTTGTGCATGATGGACCCGCATCTACACACAGCTGTCACATAGCTATATGGTTATATGTCATCCTTCAATAATGTGCTCTCCATCAGCTTGAAACTTGAAACTCACACTTGTGGGAGAGCACTGGAAAATACTGGAAGTCACAAGAAGTCCAAACACCACAATCCTGCCCACTGGCCCAAGCTCATATACAACCTTCGACTGGGATCTCTGCGTTCACCCTGCATTGGATGACTTGGGCAAGCTGTGGCAGTATTGGACTCCCACAGACTGTTGGAGACAAAGCTGTTGATTAAAGTACGGCAAAATCGGGCAACAGAACTCCATAAACCCCCCAATCTGCCAAATGCAAACGAACATGATGCGGCCTGGGCCCCTCCTTTCTTCTTCAAATCAGGCAAATGCATTGACTACATCAGTTTCCACCACGGAAGATTCTGAATTGTGTGCTTTCAGTAGGGAACACAATTGTTCGGCGTCCTCCTCCGCACTTTGTTCTCAAAACAGCACCCACGTTCCCAGGTATGATCTCCTGTTTTGACGAGCCTTGTAATTATATACTTCAGCAATTTTCTCCGGAGAACGCCGAGCCCAACGCAATGCACCATCTATGTTGCTGGAATGACGCAAGCAAAATACAGGACTGACAAGCAGCATTCCAAGTGGAAGGTGGACGATGCGGCACTCATGACCGAGATCGCAAAATCAGTGAAACCGCTGTCCTCTCCATCTCTCTCGTCTACATCCGGTCAATCATGGTCATCGGCCACGTGTGTTCGAGGCTGGTGCAAAAGCGCGACAACTGATCACAGGACAGCTTCATCGTAAAAGTTTCACTGCAGGTGCGACCTGAGGCGACCTGTCACAACCATCCTCAAGAACTTCTCACACTACTTCAACCAAGGAAACAATGTTGGCAACATCACTGCATCAAGGGTCTGCGACCTGCTTACGCAAGTCAATCAATGCCTCCTTCAGAAGCACAGCAACAGGGCCCTTCAGCTTGGAGGCAAGGATGCCCACCAAAGCCACTACGCTCATGCGAGCTAGAACACGGTGGATCTGGCTAGGGACGCCGGCGGTCCCAGTGCCTTGCTGCACTTGCGCGTCAGTCGCAACAGTTGGTCCCAGACACCTACAAGCATTTTTCACCCCACAGTGATCCCCAAATTCACCATCCAAGAACATGGTGTCAAATAAACGCATCTTGGTCCTGGTTGGGTTCAGCCGCCCGCTTTACAGTGCCGCTTTTCCCCAGTCCAAGTGGCTGTGATTAGTGGGGCCACGAAGGGCCAGCTCGCGTTGAAGCAGCTCCAAAAGCACTCCTGCTCCTGGATGATGGATTGCTTTCACTTTGGCCCGCAAGTGTGGAAGAATGGCTTCCTGAGTCAAACACATCGAAACATCTAGGCTTTAGCGAGACCCTCGTCTTGGCTGATGATGAAAGTGGTGATGCATACTATGTGTGTTCTTTCATGACACACAACGAAGAACATGCAAAGGAATAGTTTGCTCGGAGCTTCAAGCAACTTCACCGCAGACCACGACTTCACAATCTTCCTTTGTGTCTTGTCGAAGCTTGCAGGTTTCTGAAGATGTGCAGAGTGGCAAAACCCACAGCCAGCACCCTGCAAGGCATTTGATTGGCTGCATTTGGCTGCGTGACTGCGGACCCCCAAGAATCCAGAGCACTTTATGCTCTTTGCACAAGAATGCGTTAGCCGCGACTTGCTTAGAGGGCCTATCGTTCTGTCAGAGTGCACGGTGAGTGGAACTCTTGTTAGGACCTTAAACAAGCCCAGCCAATCAAAATCAAGGGGTGGGGCTGATACATAAAACATCTTGAAACAAATCCGCCAGGATCCCTAGACAATCCCCTTGCTGTTCGTGAAAAACTCTTGCCAGAGTTTTTCGCGAGCAGCATTTCCCACCTGTTTCAACAAGAAAGAACTTTGGTCACAACGCATGGTCTTCCCTAAAATAGAGAAAGATCCCCCGCAAGCCACCTCCTCACAAGTTCCTCGAAGGAAAAGGACGCATGGGCGACTGCAAAGGTTTGGATGTCCATAACTGCCTTCCGATGAGCCTTGGCTGTAGCTCTTTTCTGTTTTGCAAAGGGTTACGTTCTCACTTTGCAATACGCATTGTGCTTGCACCCAGCATGGCTCCAAATTTCCTACAGTACAGTAATAGCGATGAATTGGACGTTTTGGTGTGTGATGTGTGACTGTATTCAGTCACACCTGCGAAAGGCCAGCCTACGCTTCAAGCATCCACTGAGCGAACCACATAGAAATAGAACGAATTGTGGCCGCAAGGGTTGAAGACTTGGGGGTGCAAAACTATGTTCGCACACGTATTTATATATATATATGTATATACATGTGCAAAAACCAGCATAGACCCAGATAGCTAGGCAGAATCCCATGACCTGTTGACATGCGACTGGCTGGAACAAGAATGTACGCAGCCTGCACAGCCAGCTTACGGCACCTCCCCGTCTTCAACGCGCGCTCAGCCAGCTCACAGCACCAGCACCCAGGGTCACAACACCAGCACCAGCACCGACACGCTTTCGAAAGCGCAGCCAGTTCATTCTTATTTGCAGCAAGAACCCCATAGCTATCCCTATTTGGGGAATAACAACGTATGATCTTGTGCGCATAAGTTTGTGCGCACAAAAGTAATTATGCGCGCAAACAGCAAAGCCCGTAAGTGTCATTGGCCCAAGGCCAAGCAGTATCCAGCGCCGCTATTGGCTTCGTAGCATGCTTGAAGCAACGATCTGCAGGATGATAAGGCCGTATGACCTTGCGCGAATCGGTTTATGCGCACAAACGTATGCGCACAAACGGCAAAGCCCGTAGGCTTCACTCGCCCAAGGCCAAGCAGCATACAGCACGACTATTGTGTGTGTAGCATGCTGAAACATGCTGGAACAATGGTCGGTTGAGAGCTTGACGCTGCGCATAGAACATTATACGTACCAAAACAGCACCTGAAGAGCGTAAATACCCCACAGCGCTAATAGACAAAGAACGCTCAAGCGACAACACCGTATGATGTTGCGTGCATGAGTTCACGCGGCCCACGACTGCTGGCATTGTCAGAAGCGGCGCTTGGTCACCCTTCACTGCTGCAAGCGGTGGTTTGTTACCCTTCACTGTCAGAAGCGGCGGTTGTTATCACTTCACTGTCAGAAGCGGGCACAGCACCAGCAACGGCAACCGGCACGAGCACCAGCACCAGCAACCTGTCTCCACCATGGGCACAGCCAGCTCACAGCACCACCACCAGCACCGGCACCCGGCACCGGGCACCAGCACCGGCAACCTGTCTCCACCACGTGCACAGCCAGCTCACAGCACCAGCACCGGCACCCGGCACCCAGCACCCAGCGCCAGCAACCTGTCTCCACCACGTGCACAGCCAGCTCACAACACCAGCACCAGCACCGGCACCCAGCACCCAGCACCAGCACCAGCAACCTGTCTCCACCGTGTGCACAGCCAGCTCACAGCACCAGCACCAGCACCGGCACCCAGCACCGGCAACCTGTCTCGAAAGCGCGCACGGGCAACTCATTGTTATTTGAAGTAAGAACCCCATAGCTTCGCTATCTGGGGAAAAAACAATTCAATTCTTTTGCGGCCCCCCACGCCATTCTGGCCCCCCACCCTCTACCCTGCATGGCACCTGGCTCTGGAAACGCCAGGGCAGCCTGGTTCTGGTCACCCACATTCGCTGATCGCTCTCGCAAAGTCATCACCTCCATCCACACGGTGGATGGTTTGCCCTCCCCAGTTGCCCAGCCAAGCATAAGAAACCTACTTTTGTGGGGTTCATTCAGTCGCCACTCCACCAAACAAACCCACCATCGCCAAACCCCACCCTGCTTGGGGTCTCTTGAACGGACATTCTTTGAGCTCAGGTCAGCTTCTGGTATATTGCTGCCAGAAGCTAAGAACATATGTGTCCGGTTAGGCTAGGTATAGACGTTTTAAGTTGTACACTGCTGCACTAGAAGCAAAGCCACCATCAGGACCATGGAGGCTAACCGTAGGATCCTCTCAGGGTTCAAACCCCCGGACTCGGACATGGCACCATGTCAACCTCCATCCAATCTAGCCCTATCATCCAACTCAAGCACAGAACAACTTAGAAAACAAACACGCCGTGTGTCTATCTATTTATGCGACCCTTTGTTCTAACTATGTGTCAAACATATATAGTTATGGATACACCGGGGTCAGAGTAGATGGCTCCGCCCGAAACAGAAAATTGCCAATAGATGGCACCTTCGGAGACAAGCCCAGATTGAGGGGAGCAGACCAATTCTTGTAGAGGATCATGCACCATATTTGGCTCGTTCACTCCTTCTTTCAGGGGTCCCTGTGAGAATAGATAGCGCAACTCTCCTTATCCTCTCCTCTCCCTCTCTTTCCTTTCCTAAATGTCTCGTTTCTCTCTCCTTTCATGTCCTTTCCCCTTCCCTTTCCTTTCCTTCCCGGTCCTTTACCTTTCCTTCCCTTTTCTTTCCTGTTCCCTGTCCTTTCCCTCTCCTTCCCTTGCCTTCTCTTCCCTTTCCCCTTCCCTGTACTTCCACATCAAGCTCCATTGACCAATTTTCAGAACAGTGCCTGATACCAGCCATGTAGATGGCACAAACCTTGTGTGAAAGGTGATACCGTGATACCGATGGTTGAGCCACTAGATGGTGCAACCGTTCCCTCTCCTTTCATGCTCTTTCCCTCAGCCAAGCCATCAGCCAAGCAAGATTGAATACAGTACTGTAATGTGCTTTTTGAATTCATATTGTATTAGAGCAACCCCCCTCATCCACAAGATTCCACAAGCTTGAACTTGAACCTGGTAATGGGCGAGGATGGCGGGGCACGATCAAGGGTTATAGTATAGCATTTGTGGCTCCAATCAATGTTATATAAAACCAGGCTGATGAACCATCTATATATGTTCTCATCATGTTTTGCAGAATTAGGCACTAAGCCCGCAAAAAAAAATATAAAACAAACATGCAAAAACATATCGTAGACTAATCTCCTTTGATGGGTCATCATCTAGCTTGATGGCGCAATGTTACAGCGGTGCCAATCCACTGATTTGGAACCCCCCTCCAAATGACACACCTAGGTAGATGGCACAATCAGTGCCATGCACTGAAGAACCCTGAGTATTGGGAACATAAGCACAGTCCAAGTTCACATGCGATTTTGCCTTCGGCGGTGGCCAACGTTGGGTGACGAATCGATACCTTTCCCAGACTTGGGCGCCCCGGTCCACTGATGTGAACACCATGTTCACATGTTTTCACATGCCACTTGGATCATTTGAATCTGTTTGATGCAAAACCTTCGGGCTTGAAGCACCGAATGGCCAGGTCTCAGCCCATCCCACCTGGATTTTGCCTTGCCACTGGAAATAATCCGTTTGCTCCACCAAACTTGGGCAGCTTTGGATCCGTGACACTGTTTTTGGGGACTCTTCATCGATGAAGCCCAAATGGACACGCAGCTTTGCCATAACGTGCCAATGCTGTCACCGGTGCTGCTTGCCACTACAGGCTACAGGCTGAGGTTGGAACGCTTGGGCTCACCATGTAGCTGCGGGAGCTCATATTCCAAAAGAGGCCGCTGACCCCTAGATGTGTTCTACAAAAAGGTCTAGTCTAGAATGGTGTGTTTAAGCTAGCCAGTCCAGAAAAGCTAACACAAAGGGCCCACGGTACCTTGCCATTCCTGTCAGCGAAGATCAGCTTCTGTACTCAAGACCAGTGGAAAGCAATGCAAGCATCACAGATTCGGTCAAGAAATCGTGCGAAGCATGTACTGGGACTCTTCGCTGGAAACTTGCAATATTGGGCCGTGTCCATCAACTCATGTTCTCATGTCTGGACTTCTCAGCTCCTGGCTACAAACACTGAAGCCTTGGATTCGGACAGTTGTGCTTGGATGTGTTCTTCACTCTTCATACTCGCCAAGGTGCATCTGGCGGGGCAGGCTGCCACTCCTCACAGAGGTCACCACAGAGTAGGCAATGCCACCTCAGGTTTGGCAAAAAAAACAAATAGGCCACATGGTCAGCTCGACAACAAAGTCGTCGCCTCCGATGAAGCCGCTCTGTACCATAGCATGGTTGATTGCCAAAAATCGAGAAAGGAACATATCGAACGAAGTCCAGCTGTTTGCAAACATGCAGCGTTGCTTTCCAAGGACCCGCGTTCCTCTTTCTACTACATGTATGCGGGTGAACGGTAGCATTGGGCTTTCAGTAGGCCAGGGACTGACCACGATGCAACTCGAAGGTCACGCGTTCGGGATCAGAACCAACTCCTTATATAGTGATGCTGACTTGAAGAGACACACACATTCTCCTCTTACAGTCGGGACAAGACAGTAGAAAGCAAGTATATAAGTACTACAGTGTACCCAAGGCCGTGACGCAGCTTGTGGAATTCAACAGGCCCACTGGCCTCCAGCACGCCACACTGCATGAAAGAGAAAAGCAGGGTCTCCCAGCTCCATGCAATAAGACCTATGCACTTGCCCGGCCTCACTTTCCACCACTCGCTGCCAGCACCTGATGTGCAACCACTCGATAGATGGTGGCCGATCAAACATATATATACATATATATATATACATATTTCTATTATATGTATATATATATATATTCTTTCATGATGGAATGGCGTGTCCTGGCGGAAAAAACACGTCTGGTAGACATGTGTTGGAAGTTGGAAGTGTACATTTGTATCAAAAATCGTGACCGACCTTTTTGCAGCATGACCTGCACACTAGGTTGAGAGTTGCTACAGCTACTGAGGGTCACTTGCAGCATCGGTGCGACAAGCAATATCCAAGGTCCTGTCAGGCACAACTCAATCAAACCCTCGTCTCCGCGGGATGTATATGATAGAGAGGTGTGTAGAATCTCTGTAGCATGAAAGCCAAGGAACCAACACAGGGTGATGCAGCTCGGGGAATGTTGGGCGGGGTTAAAGTTTGGGACCTAGACTTTAACGGCACATTCGCGAAACTTGCGCGGATCTTTGGCAAACATTCACTGGCGATTTCCCTGCAAAGGCATATCATGCACAAAGATCATCAAAGATCTGCACCGGTTGTGAGCTAACTTGGGGAAATGAAATCATCCACACAGAGCTAACACCAAGGTTTCAAAGCTAGCTTGGTGGGGAGAGACCATCTTTAGATGTGACATCATCTACACCAAGCAAGCCAAACTGAAGCGACGCCGACAACCAAGCTCTCTGAGCGCTGCACCCGCTCCAGGATTGTGTTTGTCCCATGTTCGCGCCGGTCAAGAAAAGCAAAACTGCTCTGCAGCCTCCAACCTATTCGCGATGGCCTCCGAGGCCTCCAAGCTACTAGCGATGGAAACTGCTCTGCAGCCAGATCACTCTGAGCCATTCATCTAATTTGTTGCTCAATCTGCAGAGCCCTCCTCCATTGACCTTTGTGCCTACAGAACGGTATGTTGTGCATCTCGTGAACATGTTGCCCTCGAAATTGCTTGCACAATTACAAGCAACGTTTTTCCGTCACTCTAGCAGGTTAAGCGGTCAATCCGAAGTGAAACCTGGCTAAAGCAAACAAGATAAACAAGCTTGAACATTATTCAATTCTCAAGTATCCAACATGTGCCTCACAGATCCTTGCGGTGTCTGTGCTAATGCGCCATACCTGCTACCAGTGTCTAAGCTTCTTCCTTCCTCGTAGGCCTAGCAGGCCGCCGGACCCTTGCCGGCTCTCTCCCCATCTCACTTGTCATCTCCTGGACAGGGCATGTCCCCAGAAAGATTGAAAAAGGGCCGCCTCCAATGCAATGTCTCAAGTCGTGTCGTCGTGTCTCGTCGTTGGCTTGGTAGGGTCAGGCTTGGTGTGTCCGTTGAACCAGTGGTGGGTGAGAGATTGTGAAAAGGCACTGGTTGGTAATTGCGGGAAATCTATCCAAATGTTGCCGGTGGTCCCCTGGTGAAGTCGGCGAAGGTCCGATTGCTTTTCTGAACCGCAGCCGAGCGGGGAAGCTGGGAGACTGCGGCTCTACAGTAAACGCAGATCAAAGATCCGAATCTATCCAGGTGTGGCCAAAGCTTCACACTCACCAGGACATCTGGGACTCACATGGAGCATCACCCTAGTATACCCTAGTTATTTTTTGCACGGGAGCTGCCACTTGCGCTGACAGAATGGAAGATGCTGGAATGGCACATGGACTCACATAGACTAGTCCTGAACATGTCTGGCCACACCCATCCCGAATCGAGATGGTGGCTACTTTGAGCCTTTCGCTAGGCACGGCTACCGTTGGGCAGCCTGCAGCGGCATTGCTACATTATCTAGACTCTGGACAGAACGAAACACAGCTTCCAAATCAGAAGGTGGGTACGTTGGACTAAGTTGGATGAGCAAGTCTTGCAAGCGGATCTTGCCCCTATTATGACCCTATCGCCACCTCTGCCAGAAGCTGTGGTTCGCTGACCACAGAAACCACGAGATCTTGCGTGGCAAGTTCTTTCGTGGCAATTGTGACACTGAGCCCCTCCCGCCGCCCTTCCAATCAAGCAATGCCAACTGATTTGGCACACTTTTCCAGACTTTGTTCCAACTTGGGCTGGTTGGTTGGGGCCTAGGCTAACATGCCCTCAGTAACGTCTTCTGCTTGGACCTGTGGCACATGAGTCAAATGGCAAAATGGGTATCATGAGCAAAATGGGCATCAATTCCACGTGAGGTTGTATGAACAAGACATGCCGCACCGCTGCGCCTCTTGAATCAGTCCTGTTGGTCCAATAAGGTAGATGCGGTCCGCCAGCTGCAATCCATATCGTTTGGAGCCTCGTTTTGCTGCCATCCATTGTTTTGCAAACAGCGATCAACGGCCGATCAACGGCCGCGACACAACGCCACGCAGTCGATGCAGAGGCCCCAGGCTCGTGAAAATGCACGTCCGTGGCGACCTGTGCATTCCACATTCGGGTGGACCAAGTCGCATGTCAGGATAAAACAATTACAAAGTCCTGTTACCTGTTGTTTATAATTTGTGCATATAATGTGTATACAATGTGTATGTATGTATGTATGTATGTATGTATGTATGTATGTATGTGTGTGTGTGTATGTATGTGTGTATGTATGTTGTGAATTTCGAACCTTTCGGTCACTGAGGAACCAGTCTTGACCCACTCAGGTGTGTTCACGTCCGAAGCCACGAGTGTGCGAGGCCGCAAGGGTGGTGTAGGGTGGGTCACCCGTGACCTGAGCCATAGAAGCAGTGAGGACACTGCAGGGCGAGGCGCCCGACCGTTCGTACCAACCTTCACATGAGCTGTGAGTGGAAAACGCACGCGGCTGTGCGAGGGAAGGAGGATCCTTTGTTGCTACCTTTGTGTCAATCACATTGGTAGCGGAGCTACCGCTAAAGCTCCAGACAACACCTGACCCTTGTGCTTGGTTGTTGTTGACTGTGTGGTTGCGTCGGTTGAGTTGACATTGGTTGACTGCAAAGCGTGAGCATTGAACTGTTGGGAACCACTCCACCCCGGTTGATTCATTGGTTGGCCGCAAGGCAGTCGACAGGTTGCACATTGATTTGGTGGTGTTGTCACAGAGTTGTTGAGCTGCGGTTTCCAGGGAGGAAACAGCCCAATGCCACCGGAAGGTGATTCAGCTGGCTCCAGTTCCTCCTCAGGAGGATTGAGCAATCTCCCATCAAGCCCCATCTTTCAAGCCTGGTGAGACGGACCTCACTGAATGGTCGCGGAAAGTAGAGTTCCTGGCGTCACTATGGCCTCCAGAACAACTACACCTGCTTGCCCCACGAGTTGCATTGCAATGTAAGGGATCAGCCTTTCAGAGAGTTGCAAGGCTGGACCCAACAAAGCTGCGTGTTGGAAGTTTGGAGGGAGTGAAGGCCATTGTGGAGGCCCTTGGAGGGATTTGGTGAAAATCTCGATTGGAGGACAAGTTTGAAAGGTTTGAGCGTGCAATATACAGCACGGTCCAAAGAGCCGACGAGACCCATGAGAGCTATCTAGCTCGGCGCGATCATCAATTCGAAGAGTTGCTGAGCATCAAGGTCGGCATGGATGAGTTTCGTGCATACATCTTGCTTCGCAACTCAGCCCTGAGCTCAGAAGACAAGAAGAGACTGATTGTTGAATCGCAGGGTTCACTGGAGTACAGAGAGGTGGTATCCAATCTGAAGCTCCTGGGCAGTCGATTCTTCCATGAGGTCCACTCCAGCGGAAAGCAGAACAATCCAAGGACCAAAACCTATGAGGCCAATGCGTTCATTGCTCAAGAAGCTGATGGTCACGACCAAGCACCCGACGAGCCCACCTACAATCTCGATGATTGGACCGAGGCAGAATGGATTGAGAGTCTTGCAAATGATGGTGACGAGGACGCCGCCATGATCATGGAGTATGAATCCACAATGTTGGACGCAGCGCAAGACAACGAGGATCTAGCGTTGACACAATCATCATACATGGATGCCCGTCGCCGCCTGTCAGAGCGCTTCAAAAGCCGTGGGTTCTGGCCAACAAGTCAGAACAAAGGCAAAGGAAAAGGGAAAGGGGGTGAAAAAGGAAAGCGACCCCCTACTCCTCAAAGTTTTCTGGCACTAGAAACAGCCTCCAGCAGAGGATCATGGAGAGCAGCTGCAGGATTTGTGGCCGACAAGGCCATTGGAAGGCTGAATGCCCACAACGTGGATCTCAGCCGGCCCCATCAACAGCTGTTGCTCCGACACTGGTGACAGTGAACGATGAGCTGGACGCCCTGCCACTGGAGTTCATGGATTTGCCAGAGCTGACCGAAGAGACGCTCAATGCCACTCAAGAGAATTCGAAACAAGTTTTCTGTGTTTGTGAATCGAGGGACACCGGTGTTTTGGGGGGTTTGTGGAAGACCAATGAAGGGGATGCCGTTGTCTTAACCCACAAAGGGGGGATGATCACCGAGTGCGATAATTTTGATGTCAGGACTAGCTTGCCAGAGAGTGCGTTTGCTAGCACCGCCCAATCACCTGAAGCCAAGTCGATGCATGACACGGAAGCCAGTGCATTCTCGAGCTTTTCAACTCGAGATGCTCTGGGAATCGTAGATACAGGTGCTACTAAGACCGTCATAGGAAGCGGTTTCGTAGCACTGAGGCCTGAGGTTCGGAAGCAGGTCCAAAGGTGTCGATGTTCAGTAGTTTTTCGGTTTGGGAATCAAGGGACACTTGAAAGCCAGCATGCACTCGTTGTCCCAATTGGACCGCTGAAGCTCAAGATTGCGATAGTGCCCGGCCGGACACCATTCCTGCTGTCGAATACTCTGCTCCGAGCCATCGGAGCCACCGTAGATGTGTCTGGTGAAGTGATCAAAAGCACTCTCCTGAAGCGCAACATTCCTATTCAGCTGAATGCCAAGGGTTTGTTTTTAGTTGATTTGAATGGCCTGATCACACCCACCAGTCAAGATGCCGAAGCTGAACCTGCCGAGACAAGCGCAGTCAAAAGCCAAGACCATGACAACACAGAACTTTCAGGTGAGGACAGGTCTTGTGACAAGTAGAATCCAACAGTTCGAAGCCGCAACACCCGAATCCACCAAGACTCAAACGAATCCAAAGAAACCAAACGAACGTTCGAGTGTTCGTAGGGATGAGAAAGTCTCTTTCGAATCGGTTCCAAGGGGGGCTCAACCCGGTGTCATCCGTTTTGGGTTCAAGACCGGATCTGTGCAATCACACCCGTGTGACCAACCCGTTCGTTCGCCTGAGCCGCATCACGATCACGCCGACCTCCGACGCATCCGCTCTGAGTGCTCGCCTGGCACGGGTCCTGGGGGAAGAAAAGAAGGAAGAAGCCCGCGATCAGTTCGAAGCCTTCAAGCTCCTATCACTGGACGAGATGGGGCAAACCAAGATCGATTTTGGATCAGCCCATCTCGGTCGGACCTACTCAGAGATGTGGGAAAAGGAGGCCAAGTGTGTGAAGTGGTTCCAAGCAAGTTACCACTCGTCGAACAAGGTCAACCATCAGAAGTTCATCCACTACATCCCACTGAGGGTGACCTATGCCGAGCATCAACTGGGTCTGAACAGTCAAGACCCACAGCCATCACCAAGTCAGAGGCCACTTCATCCAGCAATCAAGAGCAAGGCCAAACAGGACTTGGCAGATCTTGCTGAGGACGAATCCTGGGAACTGGCAGCCATGGACACCCGCCTTCAGACCATCGAAGGTGCGATGCAGGAGGTCATTGCCCACCTCCGGGCTTCATGAGCTCGTCATGGCTAGACTCCTTCGAGGAAGCTGATATACATGTATCGTCCATGTGCCAAAAGGATGTCAGTCCAGGTAAGACTCACAGTCTGTCCCATAAATTCCATGCACTGGCTCAGCAAATCTCGAAGGAAGCCAGTCTAGCAAGGTGTGATCCAGTGATCTCGAACGGATGCAGCCGTCTGCATTTGCTGGAAGTGTTTTGTCATGAGGCCAGTGAACTGACGAAGCAAGTCCAATCGCTGGGCGGCAGAGCCAACCGTTTTGGAAGGGCGCAGGGGGACCTCAAAACCAAGGAGGGGAGAAGTATTTTGTTTCAAATGGTGTGGAAACAAAGACCCCGTCACATATGGTTCGGTCCCACCTGTGGACCATGGAGCGCATGGAACACGTTCAATGAAATGAGATCAATCCAATTGTGTGAACATGTTCAACGAGAGAGAGAGAGAGAGAGAGTCACACTTGTTCGAACTTGCACTAGGAGTAGTCTTGCTTCGCATGTCACGTCAGCTAGGAAACCACATGCACTGGGAGCAGCCACGAAAATCCATCATGTTCAAGACCCCACTCCTGCAAGAGCTGTATGCATATACTCAGGAAGCCAATTTCGACATGTGTCGCGTAGGCCAGTTGACATGTCCAGAAACGAACAAACTCATACAAAAGGGGATGGCTGTAAGAACGACATCACAAGAGATGTATGCCTCGTTGCATGGCCGGGTGTGTCGTCGAGATCATGAGCACAGACCCATTGCCGGATCCGTGACAACGCCTCTCGGGAGAATCACCGTCAGTAGCTATACAGAGAACTATCCAAGAAAGTTTGCAAGACAAGTAGCTAAGGTGATGTTGAAAGTGAAACATGAGCCATGGGTTACTGCCCTTGTAACCAGAGGAATAGATCAACCGAGTGAGGAAAGTGCATCCAAGCGGATCCGTGTGAGTTCTCCCATGCAGAAGTCCCAAGGTGGGCGACTGCCACCAACACCCCTGGAGCAATTGTCGAACGAGTGCAAGCGCCGCCGCATTGACGGCAAGACGGCCGAATCGCAGAGCATGAACATGTCACCTCAGAGACAACTAGAAGAAATCATCAAGGACATCCAACCAATGTTGCCAAGAGTAGGGAAGACTTTTATCACCAACCACCAAATCTTGGAGAGGCTTCAAAACATGTTCCCCGAAAAAGACATCAAGAAAGTTCAAGCATGTAAGGGATCAGATCGAACATTGCCACCACCAAGGGATTTGGTAAAGAATGAGGCCCCATATCGTCGTGCCATCATCGTAAGCCGAATAGGAGGGGTAATCCAAGTAGAAAAGGACTGGGAATACTGGCAAGACCTGTCTCATCGACAGCAAGTCCGCCCAGCACATCCCGCAAGAGTCAATATCACAATGTATGCACGCTTGCCCCAATCCAAGTCAGAAGCATGAGGTGATTCGACCGAACAGAATATGAGTCCCGAGGCAACGGGAACAAGCATCGAGCCGCAGGAGGCAACCGTCAGCCTGCCAAGCAGTGACCAAGCACCTGTCACAGAGCTGGATCCGGATCAGACCAAAGTGACAGGAGCGAGTTCGAGTCAACTCCATATGCCGAGCTTTGACCATGGCCCAAAGTTCAAGACCATATCAGCCGAAGAAAAATCGTTCTTGCTGAAATTGCATCAGAACCTAGGACGCCCTCATGGTCAAAAGCTGTGTTCAATGCTGCGTCAACAGAGGTACTCACCCCGATTGTGTCAAGCTGCCATGGACCTAAGTTGTTCCGTATGTCAAAATACTAAGGAACCCAAACATCAAAGACCTTCTACAATCAAACGTGAGCTAGACTTCAACGACTGCATTGGGATAGATGGTGTTGTATACACGAACCTGGCAGGAACAAACTTCCACTTCTATCACATCATCGACTATGGAACAAACTACCAGGTAGCATGTGCAAGCCCAGGTAAAAGCAGTGACGATGCAATAGACAAGGTGCTCAATGGATGGCTCCAATGGGCAGGGGCTCCGATTGAGATTCACACAGACTCAGGGACGGAATTCACATCCAAGGAATTTGTCACTTTTCTAGGCCAGTTCAACATCAAAGCAATAGTTACCCCACCAGGTGCACACTGGCAAATCGGAAAAGTAGAAAGACATGGTGGAATCCTACACGAAATGCTCAAGAAGTATGAACAGGAACATCCAATAACGTCATATACCAACCTGCAGACAGCATTATCGCACTGCACTTCTGCCAAGAATGCACTGAGCCAGAAACAGGGATACTCCCCAGAAACTCTTGTTTTTGGAAAAGGGTCCAGAATTCCAGCATCAATCTCATCGGATGAGCAATTGCCATCGCACCTCCTGGCAGACGATGACACCCAGGAAGGAATCAGATTTCAAGAAAAGCTGGCATACCGCGAAGCTGCACGACGAGCTTTTCACTGTGCAGACAACAGCTCTGCGTTGCGAAGAGCTGTTCTCCGGCGAAGCTGTCCTCACCGAGGATCCTATGACAGGGGAACTTGGGTGACGCTATGGAGACAGACTCCAACCCAACGGGGGTGGTTTGGTCCAGCCAGAGTCATCCAACAAGAAGGTCCTCATTGTCTTCGGTGCAATCACGCAGGAAGCTTGGTAAAGATAGCCCCTGAACATGTTCGACCCGTAAGTGCCATGGAAGCCCAGCATATCCCCAGAGCTCTAAGTCCGATCGCAGGGATTGAAGGCGAAGATACACAAAATGCCAACATTCGTGAACAAGCACCCGCAACTCCACCAGAGAGCCAAGAAGATAGCAATATAATCCCACAACACGTAGGAACAGGAAACACATCGAATTCGTCAGAGGTCCAGCCAGATCAAGAGCCCTCAATTCCAGAGAGTCAAGAGTCTCCAGCGAGCCGACAAAGCATCGAATTCAGTGACCCCACCGGTCATCAGGGTGCAGCAAGTGTGCCGGCCCCGAGCGAAGCATCCGATCTCAGTGATGAACTCGTATGTGACTCCCTGCTAAATGTAGAAGATCAGGTCAACTGGCGCCAAGCCCAAATAGACTCAGAAGCCGTAGGATGGAAAGCTGAATTCCTGTTTCCCCAAGAAACAATGATGACATGGGATGAAAACTCACCAGCAACAGATCTTATCATGATGACTACCACCACCAAGCGTGACCGAACAGAAGTAAAGATGCACCAATTGTCCACCGAAGAACAAGCTCTCTTCCGTCAAGCAAAGGAAAAGGAGATCACAAATTGGTTAAACAAAGTGCCGGTGAGTAAAATCTTTCGGGATCAGCTGTGTCCGGAACAGGTAATGCGTTGCCGCTGGATATGCGTATGGAAACCCCTTGATGCTGACGACCTTCAAACCGGATCAGCTGAGAACGTCAGACCAGGACCAAAGACCCATAAACCGAAAGCCCGTCTAGTAGTCCTTGGATATCAAGATCCCCAGTTAGACAACATACCCCGCGACTCGCCGACACTTGGGAAGCAATCCAAAATGCTCTTGTTGCAAGCAATATCATCCATGGGATGGACTCTGAAAAGCTTCGATATCAAAGCTGCATTTTTGCAAGGCAAAACGCAGGAAGATCGAGTTCTAGGCCTGGAACCTGTTGAAGAACTTCGAAAGGCATTGAAACTTCAACCCAATCAAATCCGCAAACTCGAAAAATCAGCCTCCGGTTTGATCGATGCTCCTTATTTGTGGCATAAGGAACTGGATCGGACCCTTCGTGATTTGAACTCCATTCCAGCACCCTTCGACCCATGCGCATACGTACTATACAAACCAGGACAAAGCAAAATTTCGGGGGTCCTAGGAGTTCATGTTGACGATGGACTAGGTGGAGGGGATCAATACTTTGAAGAACAAATCTCAAAGCTAGAAGCCAAATTCCCATTTGGATCAAAGAAAGTAGGTCAATTCACGTTCTCTGGTGTTGAGATGAACCAACAGGCAGACAAAAGTATCATCATGTCCCAATCCAAGTATGTAAGCAAGATTGAGCCAATCCACATGAATGCAAGCAGACGAACATGTCTGACGGATGAAGCGACCTCCGAAGAGAGACACTCGCTCCGTGCACTTGTGGGAAGTCTTCAGTACGCGAGCATCAACACGAGACCGGATCTTTCAAGTCGACTAAGCTACATCCAAAGTGAGATCAACAAAGCCACGGTCCAAACGTTGCACGATGCCAACCGTGTACTTCAAGAAGCAAAGCGATACAAAGACACATGCATTAGAATCCAACCCATTCCAATCAAGGATCTCAGATTCTTGTTCTTCTCGGACGCATCATTTGCGTCAGCCAAGAGCCCAGAAAGTCACACAGGCATGATCATCTTGGCCACCCATAGGGATATAAGTGAGAACTATCAATGCCCAGTCAGCCCGTTGTCCTGGGGTTGCCGCAAGATCCAGAAAGTAGTTACGAGTACTTTGTCAGCCGAAACAACTTCGCTCCAAACAAGCTTAGACCAGCTATCTTGGATGAGACTCTATTGGGCATGGATCCAAAATCCCCAAGTCAATTGGAAACGACCACATGAGGTTTTTAAGAGTGAACCCAAACCAATCCAATCTACGACAGCCTTAGCCCAGTGTTTGCCACCATCAGTAGCTGTCACAGATTGCAAATCTTTGTATGATTTGGTTACCCGAACTGCTCAACCAAATTGCCAGGAATTCCGTACACAACTTCAAGCAAAGGCAATAAAAGATTTGCCATTCGAAGGCATTCAATTAAGATGGGTTCATACAGGAGCTCAGCTCGCTGATGCACTAACTAAGGTGATGCAAGGAACTTTCCTCCGATACACTTTGCAACGAGGCATGTATCAACTAAATGACGAACTGCAAGTGCTGAAAGAGCGAGCTGACAGCAGAACACGCCTTAGGTGGCTTGAGTCTGGGATCCCTCTAATGGGAGACCAGCAGCAAGAAGGATGATCGACACACAACCAGAGAAAAAGATTGATAGAATTTTTGATGAGTGTGAATTTCGAACCTTTCGGTCACTGAGGAACCAGTCTTGACCCACTCAGGCGTGTTCACGTCCGAAGCCACGAGTGTGCGAGGCCGCAAGGGTGGTGTAGGGTGGGTCACCCGTGACCTGAGCCATAGAAGCAGTGAGGACACTGCAGGGCGAGGCGCCCGACCGTTCGTACCAACCTTCAGGTGAGCTGTGAGTGGAAAACGCACGCGGCTGTGCGAGGGAAGGAGGATCTTTTGTTGCTACCTTTGTGTCAATCACAGTATGTATGTATGTATGTATGTATGTATGTATGTATGTATGTATAACAAAATATGTAACTATAGTAACTATATATATATATATAATTGCTCACCATGGTTCACCAGTTGTTCACCCGGGTTTGGGCCAATGCATGTCTTCCTTACATTGTTCGTCAAAAGTTTGACCAACATCTCTCACCAACCAGGCTTCCCATGGCTGTGAGCAAATGCCGGTGTTCCGAGCATGAGCCACTGCCAGCCTCATCAGCGGCTTTTTGGCGTATCCAACACCATGATTCTTGACGTGGCTCTTGATCACCTCCAGAACCATGTGAGAGGTCCGGTCCTCAAAGGCAAATCAGCCAAGCTGAAATCCACGTAGGCACAGGCATGCTTGTTGGGGGGGGGGTCCGGCAGCGGAAAACCGCCCACTTCCCGTGTTCAAGCCTGTGCGTACTGGTTGTGGTTGGCTTTGCACTACTGGGGGCATCACGTCATATGGCATTGCTGGCTTATGGAGAAGAAGGACGTCTGGATTGGCCTGACTATCAGTACCGCCAGCACCCTCACAAGAACTGTTAGATATGTCTGAGTTGCTGACAACCAATGCTCGAGCAAGACCAAGCTTGGCTTGCTGAGTGTGAGATAGAACCTAGTAACAACATATTGTCAGAAGAGTCACAAGAGCATACTTGTACACTCAAGCCTCTCCTCTTATCCTCTTGTCCTCGTGCCTGATCCCAACAAAGCTTGTCAGGCACATCCAGCAGGGCCAGAATTTCCTGCCACACACCATCTGGTCCAGCGATCTCAAGCAGTGGAGTTTAAGCTAGTCCTCCGGTAGAGCCAAAAGTTGGCAAATGTGTTTGACCTCGAGATACTTGTGAAATAGTTAAAATGTGTTTCAGGCAGTAACCATGAAAATAGAAATTAGAATGGTGATTGAATCCTTGATTATGGCCTTTGTATGCCTTTATACTGTTTTCATCTGTTTTCCACCAGAAGGACCGGAGTTCTGCAGCTCACTTGGGATTGAGTCACAAAGATGAGCACATTCCAAGTACTGTCTGAGGCCAGCACGCGCTCCCTGTCTGCATCATCTCTGTGGGCACCTGTGTAGATCTCTGTAGGTCAGAACGAAGGACAATGCTTCGGACAATGAAAGTGGCAAAACGCTTTGGAGCGAAGTCATGCCTTCAGCAACGCCAAAGATCAGATTGTCATACAGCGTGCCATGGAAGAGGCCCGGCTCAGTTCCAACATGCAACACCTCGGCAAAAGGCTCCAACAGTCTGCGGAGAAGAATTGACTGCGGGATGTATTCGGTACACATCTGAGAGTTGCCATCTGGAGTGTGGCACCCGAAGGTGTGGAGGGACAAAGAAGCCAGGCAAGTTTCCTCGAAGATCAGGAGCACAAAGTCTGAAACACAAAACGTACTATTCATCTTTCTGTGTCTTGGCGAGCTTTGAGAGGTATGGATTGGGAGCTCTAGCTCGAGTTCTTTAACCCAGGATCACGGGTTAGGGAGGGAAACGGTTCCAGACCACTCCAAAAGGTTCAGTTGCAGCGGCCTTCTCCAGGAAGTAGCTCTCCACCAAACATCTTCAAGATGGAGGATTTTCCGTGGCCATGCAGGCCCACCAACGCAATGAACCTCTGATGATGGGTTCCGCTGTCAGCAACGACGACAACAACAACAACTACTACTACTAGCACTAGCACTAGCACTAGCACTACTACTACTCCTCCTCCTCCTCCTCCTGCTGCTGCTGCTGCTACTGCTACTGCTACTTCGACTAGGACTAGGACTAGGACTAGGACTAGGACTACCACTTCCACTACTACCACTACTGCTACTACTACCACCACTACTACTACTACTACTACCACTACCACTACTACTACTACTACTCCTACTCCTACTCCTACTCCTACTGCTACTACTACTGCTGCTGCTGCTACTACTCCTACTCCTACTGCTACTGCTACTGCTACTGCTACTGCTACTGCTACTGCTACCGCTGCTACTGCTACTACAACTACCAAAACAAAGACCCACGCTACCCTTCAGATGATCTGGCGCTCAGCCCCAGACTCTCCCTGATGTATGTACAACTCCCCACTCAGCTGTAGGGCAACCTGCAGGTCGCAAGATGTTCTCTAACCACGTCTCTCGTGTCGATCCTGTGGCCTTTCGAATGAAGAACTCTCCCTGCTGGGACTTCACGGAAAACTCAATGAGCGGCCCCTGACAGCAGAGAGAGTGACTTCTTTTCACCTCGCATGTCTTGAAAGTCATTAGAATTCATTAGGGGTCTTGTTTGCCTGGCAAACCTGAACTCAACCCTGGTTGGCGCAAAAGCAGCTTCCTTTACGGTATTTGCATCCCGATCATCACAACTATCGTGACTGACTCTCAGGCATCATGCACATCAGGCATGTAGCAAAGGCAAGATGTTTAAGTCCTCGGCCTTCAAGAAGAGTGGCAAGTCATCCAAATGCAGCCGCTTTTCAGGGCTGTTGGTCTCCATGATGCTCCGCATCCCGCGCGAAGCGGACACAAGATGCCTGGACACGAGCCAAAAGCTTGGGTTTCTTGCAGGTGAAGAAAGAGTATATATTATTAAACATGTAAATATATGTATATAGTATATGTGGATATATACAGTATATATATAGTATATACGTGTGTATATATATATGTGTGTGTGTATGTATGTATGTATATATATACACAGTATATACGCGTTTCGATGGAACCCTATATAACGGGCAAAGGAGTGAAGATGGCTTCCTGAGAAAGGCTCCAAGCTTTCTCGAGCATTCCCTGACCTAATAGACCTCCCGCCTCAGCAGCTTGCGGCGATCTGGCAAATCGGTTGGAAGGTTCATCAAGATCACCACCTCGAGCTGGATCCGATAACGAGATAGATGAGTCCGAGACGAGGTGCGACGACCACTTTCGCGTCACGATCGATCACGATGGATTTCTGCGTTGCCTCGCTCCGATTGCTCGCTGCTTCTGTGCATGGGGCTTATTCGGGCTTCACTGAGCATGCCACCCGCTCAAGCCCGGGCAGTATGCTGTTGATCTCGACACCACGACCTGAGAGCATAGCGGGGGCAATCATATACCATCCTTTCATATCTATCAACAAGCGTAATTGTTCAACCAATGCCTGTGCGCCATCGTATTGACCATGTGAGATTGACAAAGGGATAGGGTCTGCCCAGGTGAGCTACAGAAGATTACAGTATGTTCAAAGGACATTGCTGCTGGCTGTTCGAGCAAGGCGCTGCAAATCATGCTCCAGGTGATGTTGATCTGTGTGAACAAGGTGATGTCTGCCAGAAAAATACCCATCCTGTCAAAACCACTCCAACACACATGGAATATGGAGTGATGGTTTGATTGAGCTTGGCTTTTGATATTGAAGTTCGGGCCTCATCTTGCCATCCACAACTTCCAGTCCGCCAACCAGTGTGTACCTTGGTATTGAGACTGCCCTTATTCGCTATCACCGGACAGGTTTCTCACATTTTCTCCCGAGGGGGCCTCCAGGGGGCAGCGCAAAAGAGTGGCGCCCAAGATCCGCCCATAGCAGTGCTAGCATACAGCGTCTGAGTCCCCCACGCAGCCAGCATCACCAATCCCATCCAATTCGCGAAATACATGTTATTCTTCATGACTTGCATCGTGTTGATGCAGGAGGCATTGAATGAAGCGATACCCCGCTCGAATTGATCAATCGCTTTCGCGACTCCGCCCAAATTCCGGATGATGGTGTTGTTCAGCGTGACCTCAGTGCGTGCGGAATGGGCTTGTTAAGGTCAATCACCAGGCAGTGGGTGCACCATGATCCACCCACATCTTTGCCAATCCGTTTTACAATGTTCATGGTGGCGCATGGCGTGGAAAACGGGGATCCCGACGCTTTGCATTTGGCTCACCAGGGAGGCTCGCTCGACATTCTCGGCCTGTTGGACGTGAATCGTGGCAGAACGACCTGAGTAGGCCCCATGGGCAGGGCCGTTACGCAGTTGCTACACATAGAAAAGGATCTTACATTGCCACGGACTGTTCCCCTCCCATCCGACATCTCATATGTCCAAGCGGCGGCAAACGGCAAAAAGCGCGAGCAAGATGGGATGAACCGCCAAGGGTGCAATGCTCCAAGGGCTGATGGGCTCTTGGAGAATCAGCCGGGAAATCACTTGGTATGCCAAGACCTTGTGCATGTCAGAACCAGATTTGCCACCATCTTCACATAAATCATAACTCCATCCATCTTGTGACTTTGGAAGCTTAATGGCTTAACAAAACGCAAACCAATGATGCGTCACAACTTTCAGCTGACAAGCTGAGCAGTTGGCCGTGGCAAGGTTTTGCAAATGAGAGATGATCTCCAAAACTCCCATATAGCCATTCTGGACAATATCTTCCACATCCTTCACACACAACAAGGAACAACTCACTAAAATCATCACAAAACATTGCAACAACGCAAAGGAACAAAAACGAAGGCGGCTTTGCATCCTTGGACATAGCCATGATTTCGGCACCTTGCTTGATGTCAATCCTGGGGTACAGCTAACCGCAGCAATCTCATCTCTAGGCTGTCCGAGCAAGCATGTGGAAAGGACAAATGTCGTCAAGCACTGCTGAGTCTGCTGAGCACTGGTGCATCTCCTGGAAGAGACATCGTAGTGCAGCAGTCTTCTCACCAATGCCGACAGAAGCTGTGCTCGCGATGCTCCGCCTGAGGGTGGATCGTGTTGGTGGGTGCATCTCATAGCGAGCTAATCTAAAAGCATTGAGGTTCTGGCCCACTCTCCAGGTCATAGAAACATAGTCCAGGTAGTGGAGAAACGCAAAAGGCACTAACATCCCACACATCACGCAGACCAGCATGCCGGGGCCTGAAAGCCATGATGTGCAAATCTCGGGTTTGGTGGTTGATGGTTTCTTGTGTACATGAAGATTGCTACTTGTTACATCTTATTACTATTACCCTCAGATGAACGAGTCCTAAACTAAATTATGGTAGCGTAGCACTGGCACTACAAAAGCAGCACGTTGGCGGGATCTGAGTCTTCTAATGGAGCAAGAACACTGCTGAGCCTTCAGCATATCACTCCAACTTATTTCAGCAAGCCCTTTGACATCGCACCCTAAGAGTCTAAGGCGCAGGCGGCTATGCAAAAAGTCCGACAATGATTGCGGCGGTTCGGAGGGGAATTCCTCGCCACCTTTGAAGACCTTGTCTACCAGCAGCACGCTGAGAAACAACCTGCAGAGCGCGTTTTTCACGAGCCAGGGACGGCATTGTTTCTGCGCTCTGGAAGGATGGGGACCTTTTCCATAACCTGCTGTCATTACATCAGGTCCTCGGCTGCTTCCTACAGTTCCTAACTAACTAAGGCCTCAGGAAATCACAAATTAAAAACTGAGTTATATAGTTCATGAATGGCATATATGATGAAGACCTGCAAAATGTTGCGTCGCACTGAGCTTCATCTAGTTCACACTGAGTTTCCTCTGCTTCACGCTGAGTTTGCTCCATTCACACTAAGTTTCAGGGCGAGCCTATGATCAGTCACCTTTGTAAAAAGGTGGGTGGTACCGATGAACATGCAACATAGCAACATGATACATTCGCGTATCGCACGGCTCAATTTGTTGAAAGGAACAGTGGTTGAGAAGCATCTTCCTGCTTACTGTAATTACTTCCCATGCTTTGCCATGTTTGTTGTGGTCCAGCATGTTGAGCTTTTTTGGGAAGGGCAGAGGCAGTTGCAAAGGCTGATGTGGTTTTGCTCGTCCCCGTGTTTGCTCGTCCCCGTCTCCAAACGATCTTGTGTGAGATAGAGTCTCCCACCAGTATCTGCCACACAATGGAAGAACATCACAGTACAAAATTAATCAGCTGGTCAATGGGGAAATGATTTTCCCCATCGGCGTGCTCCCCACAAAACCGGAGAGTATAAGGCCCTGTGAACGTGGCATGTCCTGAGGTAGGAACATTTTGGAAATACTCGCACTGTAACTGCAAACTTTGATCAAGCCCATCTGCCACCTCAAACAGAAATGCCAATACCTCCCAACCACCCTGCCCACCCGGAGGGAAAAATTACCAAAAAGAGACAGAAAGCTTTGAACACCTGAAAAGTAGAACAGCTTTGCTGGCAACACCCGGTGATTGGTCACCGGCCACCGGTCACCGATTTCACCGGTCACCGGCCGGTCGCCTCAAGATTCCATAGAGGTGATGACATTGCAGCGCCATCAGCATTTTGATTGTGCCTGTCCAACCCGCTCGGAGAACGAAGGTCAAGCCGGACTCCAATGATTCAACGCGGTGCATCCCGGTGCCTCGTCGGACCGTGTCATTGCGGAAGTTGAGCTTCAAGTACTCCGACATCAAGATCAAGAGGGGAGCATTCTCCAACGCTTGCCTTGCCACGTCCAATTCTGTAAGATGTTGGAAGCCAAAAGAAGAAGGACAATTTGAAGGCACAGTGGCCAGAAAATGCCAAGCCTTTGGAACATGAGCGAGGCAGGGTCGTTTTCGTTTGGCGTGATGGTGATCCCACTATGTTCTTGTCCGACTACGAGCACTTTTTGCTTCATCGTTCACGCCGTTTCACTGGTAGCGCATATGCCGTGCCTCAAGTGCTCCCAGGATAAGCTCTTCGAGAGCTTGCGCACATCCACCACGTTGGATGGAAATGCATCCTGAATGGCTCAGGAATTGCCCACTAGCTAGAAACCTCCATAGCAAAAGCTATATAAATCTTGCTTTTAAGATCTTTGAAGTAACACATCGCAGTGCACCTTTGCTTGCTGTGTTACATTGGTTGACGATTGTCCTTGTCGTCAATCTTCACGCGTGCGCATCTGCCATAGACATCCAGCTCGGCATTCGCCGTGCTCGAAGACTCTAATATCACCTTATGTCACCCGCTCCGACAGCGTGATTGCAAAGCGCCGTGGCACCGGGATCCTCTAACCAATCCAAACATCTGAACGCTTTTTTCTCTCAAAACCCCGAAGCACGCCTCGAACTCCAAGGTGGGAGACCATTCATCACTGGCCTCAGCATCCCCAGGTTGGGAGACCCCCCAGGTTGGGATCTGCGTCATCCAAGTCAACCAGTCGGTCTTGAAAGTTCTTGAGCCAACCCACGATCAGAGTTACGCTCACGGTGATCGAGTCCACGCCAGGTTTGAAGACAAGCCTAGGTCAATTTGCAGCCCCGGTTGTGTATCAAAGCAGAACCAGCATTGCTGATCGGGAAGATGCGCATTTCCCAAGACATCCCAAGACGGGGTGACATAGCACGTCGTCTGGAGGAGAGTTGCAGGATGTTATCCCAATCTGAGCTTTCGACATCCTGCTTTCCGGAACGTAGTTCACACCTGCCTGTGAAGAAACATTGCACTCACAAAGTGGGATAGTGCTTGTTCGGCATTGACCACCCTGAGCTGCACTGGGTGCAAAACAAAAAGAACAACCTTCCCAACCAGTGCGTCAGACGTTGTATGTACAGAAACACCGATATTTCGTGTGCACACCACACACAAAGCCCCGTAGATTCTGGGACGTCGTCGATGTCAGGTGGGCCAAGTCGAACTGCCGCACGGCGGTGCGAAGCCGCGCCTTAGCAGACAAGTCGTTCGTATGTAGGTGAACCTTGGACCTCAGCTGCGCAGCGAACATGGCAGCTTGGAGCACTAAGGCATGATGCGTTTCATGCTGCTTCATCGGTTTTTGGATAAAGGCCGCTGGGAGGAAACAGGACATACTTCAGCCCAGCAAGGCCAAGCACACTCAAAGGAGTAGAGAGACACAACAAATGCGGCAAACAATCCATGGACAAGCAGAAAAGCTAACTGCCTACCCAAACGGTCAATGTGGGTCAGCAGTTGAAAATGGCAGCACTTGCAGCAAAGCAGGGATCTCCGGGCGTCTGGCGGATAGTTCAGGTTCCCCGACCGAGTCACCTGACGTCACTAACGCTCAGGATCTCTCAAGAGGGTCTCCCTAGTAGAGGCCAGCATTTTGGAAGTCAAATGGAAGATGCGATGCCAGCCGGGATCAAATGGAAGAAACTGGCTGGTACTGTATCCCTGTGCTGTGAAATCCTGGATGTCACACCTTGCGGGACCTGCAACTGTGGCTTCTGCCTGCTAAAGTCTAAAAACCCACAAGCCACAAGGGCTAAGGCCATGTTTCTCAGGGGGTCCAGTTCAAGCACATCTATGCCGTGCTTATGCCTCAAAAAACCATTCACTCCGTGAAAATCAAGGCCATGCGGGCCATGATAGACCAGTCTCACCTCAATCTCCACTTTCTCCTCCTCCTCGCCCACAAAAGTAGCTGCAGGTGGTAAAGCGGAGCCTCACCGTTTCATGGAGTGATGGAGCTGGGTGACTGGGTGGACCGGTCAAAACGATGGGCACGGAAGCACCCAACGAAACGTGCGCACGAGCTGTTCCCGGTCCTGGGCACATCCGTGGGTCGATCCTCCAAGACTTCCTGGCAAACCGGGGCAAAGGCATCCAAAGCTAGGATTGAACTGCCGCAGAGACACACATGAATTAAAGATTTTAAAAAAAAATATGAAACTTCTATCTCACCTCTTCCTCCAAAGCGTCCATTCACGGTCTCTAGACTCTAATCCACCGTGGGGAAAGAATTGCCGGAAATCCTCCTCATGAACCTTTACCAAAAAAACAATTCACTGTCAAGGCGTTCGGTCTTAGCACGATTGTCATTGGAGTCTCTCCTCGCCACTTCAGCAGGTGACAGCCCAATTTCTACCTCTGTGCGGAAATGTCAGGCCTCCTGGTGCTCCATGCCAGGGTCAAAGAAGCTGGGCCAGGTGGACTTCCGCTGCAGCGTCCGCATCCCCACTTGGCAGGCGTTGATGGCCGTGAGCCTCGGAGAAGGCGGCTGGCTAGACAATGCATCCTGAATGTTTGGGGAATCCTGGGCAGCACCTCCAGGGTTCCATGCGCAGAACTCGATGGCCCACCTGTTCTTAGATCCCTGCTGAATGGTTTGGGAAGCTGGACCTGTCTTGTAACATTTCACGTGTCTTTCTTTCTGCAACCTTTCGCCTTTTGTGGAACTGTGGGAACTGTCGAGCCACTCGCATCACCGTCAATTAGCACGGGACTACTCTACTCTTTGGGTCCTTCTGGGCTGTTGGTGCATCACCGGTTCATGGCTCTTCTCCCTTCCGATGCCAAGCTTCAGTGATGCTTCCAGCTCCGGCCGCGCCGCCAAGAGCTGAGTCATCACGCGGACCACATCCTCCTCTTCAGCTTCCTCCTGGCCCAGGCACTGCACTACTGAGTCACTAATGTGGTTTTCATGCACGGCAACAGTATACAGCGGGGACTACTGGACTATATATTACTACACTACACAGGTAATTTTAGCACTGAAAGAGTTTTTGCAAGGATGTAGAAGAAGAGGACTGGTGTGGGTTGCTAACGGTTTTCAATTGGCATGTGGTTTCAAATCTGAGTCGTCACACCCTTCCCGATTCTACAAATGATATTGCAGGATGTAGGCGTTCTCTTCTCCGGGGGGCTATCCATGGCATCTGCGACCCGGCTATGCTCCTCTACTTCGGCCCACTCTTAAGGTGAATCCAGCGGATCATAGCAAAGGAGAGTATCCTCCTGCCTTCAACCCCACCGGCAAGCCCATCCCTACTCGCGGGATCCGACAGACATAAAGCAAGCCCGAAACCATGGTATTGGAGTGGGCATGCTTCGCTTTGGGTTTCTTTGGGGCCCGGTGAAATGGCACCTTGAGCCATTGCAGCGTGAACTGCTCGGACACTTCGGGGAGGACCTCTCCGGTGAGCCTCACAAAGGAGCGAACTGCAGGCGTGACAGGCATCATTTCAAGACAAAACCTCACAATCATATAACAATACTGTTTAACAATGGCAAACATATTTCCTTGGCAGCCGACACATATGCTTGCACAAAATCACACGAACATATTGACGAAGAATCTCATTTTCCCAGTTGATTTGCCTCACAAACCACTCTGTCACCAAGGTGCTCATGCTCATCTTGCACGATCACTTTGGAGCTGTCGCACCAGACGTTGCACGACTTCGAGTTGGACAAGAGTGGTTCATCTTCCTGAGAAAGAAGTACAGTAGTCTTAGGGATCCTTCCCAAAAGATAGAAAAAACTTGGCATACAAACTGCCAAACGTGAAACGAGACTGCCGTGCTTCACTCCAATCTGATGACTTGGCCAGGGCACGTTGGCAACTGGCATTCTCGCGCATGGCCAGCCAAGCAAGGCCGCTTGTGAGACCCATCTTCAGCCAAACAGCTGCCAGTCAGGATGAAGACTGTTCTCAAAAAAACACAGCCAATTCCAACATGTCAAGAACAGCATTGGACGATGTAAACAGCATGCCTTAAACTAAAGAAGTGCTTATACACGTCTCATTGCACCCTCCGCCGCAGTGTCCCAAATGGTCATGGTCGAAATGTGACGAGTGACGCAGACCAATTTCCTGGACAAGAAGGATGGGCCACTGCACAGGAGTTGGCCCACCGCCTCACAAGAAAGTACACCAAAGTCAGAAGTGTGAAAAGGGGTCGACTATGCACGGCTTGCCCATCCAATCTCTGACAAAGAACAAGACATCAGGTTTCTCTGCGACTGCAGCAAGCTGAAATGGACCCCCTTATTTGCCGTTTAGGTCCTGCTGGACAAAGCTGCGGGAACACAAGCGTTTGCCTCTAAGTGATGCGACCACTATGTTGGTGCTACGCACGAAAGAAGTCGTCGGAGTTCTCAGCCTCAGCCTGGACTGGCAACTTGCTGATCACACTGGACTTTCGCTACAGTCTGAAAAACATGGCTTTGACTCTCGGAAAGGACAGATTTTGCACCTTGACTCACCTTTCATTGCATTAAAAAAGCAGTTGAACTTGCTGCCCTGGCGGAGGTAGTGCCACCGCCACACCTCACCCAAAACTTGTGGATGGGTGGGTGCTGTGGAACTTCAGGCGAGCAAGCCAGCAATTGCATTCGTGCTCACATCACCACATTGAAGAGAGGAGGGAGTTGAGCGAGTCATGCTGATTCCCTCTGCTTGAGCACCTCTTCGCAAATCTCCTTCAACTTGGATGGCCTGCCAAGCCACCGATCTTTCTTCCCCTCCAGAACCTCCATCAATTGTTTGGCAACATCTGTGTAGCCCTTCCCCGCCATCTCGTGAATCCTTGTAGCATTGCACTGGGAGGCCGCTGGATTTGGATTGATGCGGTGCTCTTCAAGATTTTTCAGGGTGTCATCAAGCTTTTCCTCAAATCCTTTGATGACATCGTCCCGCAACTGCTGCGAGTTTCTCTGACATGCTTCAAGGACGACCTTCAAAGCAGTTCTGTGTGCATCTGTCCATTTCCAAACGCCAACTTCATCTTTGGCCAACCATCCCGCGATCACCACGACACCAACACCACCGGTCAAAATGCCAAGGCTTGTGGCAAGACCGGTCGCAGTAAGACCAGCTGCAAAAACTGCGTTGCCAGTGAACACCCCTGCGAACACGGACATGCCACTCATGCCCACTGCAATGGCATATTGCAAGAAGGAAAAGCCGAGGCGGAAGTCTTTGTTCAGTTTTTGATTCGATAGGAAAGCTCTGAACTTGGCAAGAGCATCAGCCTCATACTTGCTAAGGTCTGTGATGATCCTTTCCTGGACTTTTCGCAGCGTCCTTTCTGCAATTTCCTGAACTGCGGTGGCCTTGGACCAAATGTCGGGCTTTTCATCCCGGTAAGCATTCAACACTGTCTTCAACTCGTCGGGGATCTGGTTGATAGCACAGGTATCTCGATTGAATGGAGCACAGGGTTTGAAGTCTGCTAGTCCAAACTCTGTCCACTCAATGTTCTTGAAATAGTCCTCCACATCCGTCTGGAATTGCTCCTTCAATGTCGTACCTAATGCCTTCAGCTGACTCATGTCTTCAGCCGCCAAGAGCCTCACCCCCTCCTCTTTGTAGATTTCATTGAGAATCTGTTGGGTCGTCTGATTCTGAACCTGCAAAATCCTCCATTGATTTGTGGGATTTGCGATGCTTCTCCCAAGCTGCA